GATCATTGAAATAAGAAGGTTATTAAGAGCCTCTTTAATTTCTTCCTCAAAGTGGTAGGCGACTCCCAGCCGATGAATTGCATCGATCAGTGACAACAGGACGTGAGGGGGAGCGTCCTTGGTGGATTCAAGAAGGGTTTTAGTAGCTTGCTTGAGCTGCTCTAGCCGAGTGGTATGGCTTTCATACTGCAAGATTAGATACATAAATAATATATATATATATAGCTCGATCTCACATTGGAAGGATGATATATATATATATATATATGTAGGGTGCCGTAAAGAGAATTGATATGTGTAAAGGAAACTATCATGAATCTGATATTTAGTCTTCTGAGTTTAACTTGGTGTCCACCAAAGAAATGTTTTTGTTAATTAAGGAGACTTGCCTTGTAACCAGTAGAGGAAGAGATGATGAGGTCAGGGTCCCAAACGGTAGGAAGGAAACCTGCAGTTCGACGTTCACTCATTTGCATAGCATTAGGCTCCATAAGTGGTTGAAAATCAATATAATTGACCTTTTTCAGTGCCTGGACGGGCTTCTTTGATATATGTACTTTCCTGAAATGAGAGTAATAGTAAAAACTCGTACTCCACCTAAAAAAAAAAAATGCAAAATGAACTATATGCATCAAATCACCGGAAACTTACCTCGCCGGCGGGGCATCTTCTGAGTTAATACCCATGGAAGAGCATGCGATGTTGCGTCTACCTACCCTTGCGGGAAGAATGAATGCGTAGGAAATGCCACTGAGGCCAACAGCTGCCAAAGGTTTTTGCATTGCCATATTGTCGTAATTAGAAGGCAGGTCGGCAAAGGGCGAGAGCTCTTATATAATATTTCAACTTACTGTACTAGAGGGTTTATATGCCCCCTTGGTCTTTTGAAAACTTTAAAATTAATCCACAAATTTTTTATTTTCAAGACTTTAATCTTTAATTTTTATTTTATTTATCTTACTATCTTAGTCTTTTTGAAAATAATTATCATTAGTTTTTTTTTCTATAAATATTGTTCTTAAATTTAGAACTAAATATTAATATAACAGTTAGTGAGTCTTTAAATTGACTTATTAAACATAAAAAATTTTCTTTTAATCTCTAATATTTTTTTCCCATAAAATTGACAAAAATTAACTTTTTAAACTTTTGACATTTCTCCTTCCCATCCCTGGCAACATGCTCTGCTTCTTTGGAAAAAACCTTGGATTATTAACATTTTTGTAGAGCGTAAAATTAGCCGAAACTACTAGAAAAATAGTTATTTGACACTGTAATATAATATATATGCAATATCAAATAGACAGAATGTGGTATCCAAAAACTAATTCACACTGCAACAGTACTATTAAATGTTACTTTAAAATAAACTTGTATCAAATAATATTTTATATTAAAAAAATACAATATCAAAAAAATAAAAAATGATATTTGAAATGTATAAGAGGTCAACGCAAACAATTAGACATTGATTGTTAGATCATATTTGACACCTCAATATGTCAATTGTACCTAGTTATGTTTTTCCATTAATTTTTTTTTATTTTCTAGTTTGATAATATTACAATAATATGTAAAATTCATAAAAAAAATGCAATGGAGTAATGTGTATATATATAAAGAAAAGTGTATATCAATTTCGACTTTTAAAATTAATTGAAATCTCAATCTTAAATTATGTCATTTTATTTAATTAAAACTTAATTTAAAATTTAAAAATATATCATATTAAATGTTAATACTTAAATTTGGAAACCGATTATATATTTTATATAAAACTTTATTTACTTTTAAGACTAAATAAAAAAAATCTATATCAAAATTGTAGTTTAACCCAATAACAATAAACCTTTCCATGAAAAATTTCTTCCTAAATTAATTAATCTTATAAATGTGATTAAAACAGTGGTGGAGATAGGGGACTAATTGCGCGCAGGCCCTCCCTAAAATATTGAAAAAAAATTTATGTTAAATTTTAAAATTAAAAAAATGTAGTATATTTATTTGTTCTTCTTAAAAAGTTAAATAAAATATATTTAGTAAAGGAGAATAAAAGTTGTAGCACCTGGCTTGCCACTATATTTAGTTTTTTAGGTAGTTAATTCTACTTAATTTGCTGTTTTTCTTCATCCAACTGAAATATTCTTTAATTAACATTATATTCTTTAACTTCTAAACTTAGTGTACAATAATATAATATGTCTTCAATTCATTTTTGGGGTAAAAAAAGTCTCTTTCTAATTGGATTCCTAAAATTCTTTTATAAATTGCAACTTTCAAGTAATGTATTAATGTTTTGGAAAAATCAAGAAATTTATTATTTTATTGTATTATACTTTTTGATAAATCATTATATTGTATTTTG